CCCGCCCGAGTCCAACATAAGCCCAGCACTGCGGGTCTGCGGCTGAATGGCATAGAAGAGTCTGAGGAAATCCATCCGAGCGTGCGCGCGTATGTGTCATGTGTGTGATGGTGGCAGGTCACGGTATTGAGAGAGGGCTCCTGCAGGACCGAAAAACCTCTTTGGGTCATTTGTGGCCTCACGGCTAGTCGAGTCAAGTCCTGGATAGATGACATCACTTTGGGGGAAGAAAATTCTATGCCGACTTCTATGCTCCATACGTGTGACCTGGAGGTGTAGGTTTATGGCAAGGTTAAGCCAGTATAGAAGTCTCCTCAGGAGGATACCCCTCCTGTCTGGGTGTAAAGTGAAGGAGGGGATCTTCGGGGGTCGAATAGAGTGGGAGGGTGGAAGGAGGGGCAGCTTGGTGGGAAGGCGCGCCTGCTAAAGGAAGAAAACTGTCTGAATGTCGTGGGTGGCGAGTGGCCGTGCCAGGGCCAGAGAGGACGGTCCTCCCGCGTCTCTTAATGGCCATTAAAGCTTGGTCAAGTTTTGCGTCGCGCCCTCGCACTAGTAGTCGGATGATGGGGCAAAGCCAGAGGGGGGCAAAAAAGCAAAAGAGAAAAAAAAAGTAGGGTGAAAAAGTCGTATCGCCTTGTCGTGACGAGACCGCAGCGCAGACGTTTTTCTTCACCCTTTCCACCCTCCTGGCCCCCGCCCCACCTTCTCTCCCGGCTACTACTACAACTTCGCACGCAGTTGGGTTTAACGCGCCGGCGCTGGCGGAGGTGAGTGGTCGGGGTCGGGGCGTTCAGTCGCGTCCAGGAGTCGGCGGCGTGCCTGTCCATCAGCCCGCACCCCCTGGGGGGGTTCTCGGCGACCCTTTGCCCGCCACTCTACGCCAGAGCAGGCTCGGCTCGGCGCCCTCTCTCCCTCTCTGCCCCCTCTCTCTCCCTCATCTTACCTCAGCCCCCTAACCAGCCACGCCCCGCCACGCCCCGCCACGCCCCGCCACTGAGCGCGCGCAATTTGTTTGGAATGTGTCGCTGTGTGGACGAGCTTGTTATTCCCTCCTCTCCAGGGATTCTGCGGATTCTATCCGAGGCGTAGCGGGGCGGGGTCTGGCCCCACCCTTGCCGTGGCGCCGCCCCCGGCAGCAACACTCCTGCTCCGCTCCCGGTGGTGAAACTTGATTATCGCCAGCATTTTCATCCCCCTTCCTTTTCTTTTCCCCATTATCGGATAATGTTAATAATAAAATTAAATAACACGCAGAATAATAACGCGGCTGGTAAACAAGCTTCACGTGAGTTTCTATTTAATTTTCGCCCTTGACATTCCCTCATATCTCGATACATCCCTCTCTACAGCGATCTGTGTTTCTGTCTCTCTGTGTGTTTGGTGTGTGGCGTGCGGTGGCGTGTCGCGAACCACCTCCTTTATACCTCTTTACGAGTCGCTCTTTCTGCTATGGTTTCCTTTCTGGAACAGCTTTGTTGAGTCGCGTGGATATCGGAGGGAGTGGTGCTTTCGCATCGGCTTTTTGCCGTCGTCGTTGCTTCCACTGCTCCTGCTGCTGCTCCTGCTGCTGCTGCTGCTGCTTCCGCTGCTGCCCCTCCTGCTGCTCCTGCTGCTGCTCCTGCTGCTGCTCCTGCTGCTGCTCCTGCTCCTGCTGCTGCTGCTCCTGGTGCTGCTCCTGCTCCGCTCGCCCGCTGCCTCTCCCCGAGCCTCACCCTCTTTGCAGTTAGCCGGGCGGGGCTGGTCCTGGTCCTGGTCAGCCACTGACCTTTTTAACGCCGCCAATTTACTGCTCACTGATGGCTTTTACGAGAAACGTGATGGGCGGGCGCCGGGCGCCCCTCCTTTCCTTTTTACCCTCTTCGTTTCTCTCTCTC